TTTTTTTCTCCTTCATGCCAGAAGAATGTGCAGACATGAATTTCTCAGAAATACAAAGTAATAAAATTGTACAATGGAGTACGGTGGGTAGAGTACTTTCGCCCCAAAACCATAAGATAAAATTTAGACTATCCCTTTTAAAATGAAGCATGTAACTTTTTTTGTCAGTTTTTTTTTTTTCTTTTCATAAGCTAAGCTATGTGAAAAAACGGGGACATTATTTTCAAATACCGAAGTCAAACTAGATGAGAACTTCACGTTTTTAGGCTTTGCTTATAAAGATTTTATTCGTCTCCCCATATAATTGTGTGCGGAAAGCCCACAGAATATCCATTGAGATCGCGGCATTGCTGGAAGAAAATGGTAAAAAGTAAGGGTTGAAAAATAGAAAAAAAAAAAGGAAAACCCTGAAGCACAGCTCTCGTTTTACGATACAAGTACGGTACGTCCCCTCTTCTTTTCCCTCATCCTCCTGTGCACGTCCCCAGGCTACAGGACGTGGCGACATTCTGGAAGTGAATTACCTGCGATTTCAGCCTCTCCCAAGTCTAACTTGTCGAGCCACATTTATTTCCTATATATGTTACTTCTTAAAAAGTGGGGAGACCCACTCAGTGCTACTCCATTCTTTTTTATTTGACTAGCGTATATTTATAAAGTCGCATGTATGGGGTGTTATCATTTGACATGTAAAATCTAAATATTCAAAAAATTCCAAACATCTAAAATTCCTCATAATCAATAATATTTCAAGTCAAAATTTTTTTTTAATGATCATTATATTCACACCTCGCTAGTGAGACCAAAAATTTACTCTTTGGAATTTAGGCCTCATCTCACTTTGATCTTAACGTAGTCGCTCCAGAAAAGAAAATCTACGGATAGTTCAAGCCCCTCACACACATCAAGCTCAGTCCCAGTTTCTTTATCCTTCTATCTCATTCAACGCTATTCACCCCAACACTTCTCTTTCACAAGACGCCTATCATCTCTATATTACCTCCACTAAATTTTGATTTTTATACCGATGACCTATCTACCCCTCTTCACACAACTCGCTTAATCATCCTCAAAGATTAAACAATTTCCACACAATTTTAAAATCACATTATTATCTATTGATTAAATTAATGTAACGAATAATTAATTTATCGAAATGATCCATCGATTCCGATATTCTTCATCACTCTCGTTATTAATAATTTATCTGTGACATCAAATGACATGGACATATTGATTCCAATCCTTGTTACATTTTAAATAAATTATTTTAATACAAACTATTCAATAAAAATTATTGATAATTTTACATGGGACTTCGTAAGTCGATAGATGATTTCGGTCGGTCAATACTGGAAATCCAACAGAAACCGAATCCTTCGTATGACTGCAAACAAACTTTGTGAAAAATTTCATGTTGGTTATTCGATCGCCTTCATGATGTAAGTTACCTGATCAGGGTAGTTGTATCAGTAACGTCCGCTGCAATGTATGACGTCGGTATTCAAGCGCAAGAGTAAGCACATTACTGTGATGGCCGGGGGGATGGCTATAGATGGTCTCGCGATCGAACCCCTAGCCAGCTAGTATTCCAGAAACGTGCAAGGGTTTCACCGATGAGACGGACGTAGACTGGATCTATTGTATGCGTAATGCCAGAGAGAACGGACAGGAAGCCAGAAGATGGATGGAAAAGAAATGATCGAATACGTAACAACGAACTAGAGTTTCGAATTGCCAACCACAGCGTCAGCTATTGTATCATCGTAGTCAACGGTTGTACGTTACGGTTGGATTTTGGTTTCATGAATGAGAGGAAGTCATTAGCTGTGGAATTAATGAATACGTGTAAACATTTTTTAAGACAGAAAACGAAAGAAACAGAATAGCTTGAGGGGAAGAACATAACAAGTCCGGTGTGCACATCATTTTACGAGCGAAGAACGTATCCCATTTCACGGTTAATGTGACGCGCCAAGCATCTTCGTAAAAAAGGGAGAATCCCGTCATGAAGAACTACACGGGGGGATAAACTATACCCATCAATGTACCTTCTCGGGGTAGGTCAGAGAGAAAATTCAGAAGGAAGGGTGATTGGTTCATCTTTCTCGCCTGAGTTCTTCAGCCAAAACTCACTTCTTTATTTTATTTCGTGTTTTTTTTTTTATTTTCATAACCGGTGACGTTGGTGCTTTGGTACTGATTCGAGTTCTGATGGATTCGAGATTTATTGAGCGGAAATCTGAGATAGAATATTTTTTCTGGTGCTTGTTTTTTATTCATGATTCACATAAGTGGAACAGCTTTTTATAAAGAATATCACAGAGGTTTACCGTGAGATTGGAATAACTTTTTTTTTTTATTAGAAACCACTTAGTCGTTCATCAATGAATGGGTTTGAACAGACAGGAGAGGGAGAAAAAAGGTGTTGTAGGGATTCCTATTCGACGCAATGATTGTCGTTTTACTCCGTCTCCCTTCTTTCATATTTTGAATATTTTTATCTCACTTGTGGCTTTCATTCTTTTTCTTCTGTCAGGTTCATTCCTATCGTCGAGCGTTTGGATTGATGAAGCTCCTTGAAAAAACAAGCCACATATCTTCAGTGTCCATCCCCATGTCTGACTTATTGATTTCAGTGTACCAGGACGGGAGACGCTTTATATCCTTCATGTTTTCGTTATTCTCGGGGTATACTTTGGGCTATGAAAAATAGCAGGACGTATTGTTTCATTTTCTCCCGATATGCAAGTTTCTATGGGCTAGGGTGAGGGGCGATGAATGGGCTCCAAGCCCTTCAATATTATTTATCTCTCCTCATTTATTTCCCAACTCCTATGTTAAAAATTGATGATTAAATATTTTCAACACAACGTGCTTCACGTTCAAGTAATACATGTCATTTTAAAAATATTATAATTCATCCTCAAAAGTAAAAGAAAACCTCAGGAGCCGTGCAGATTGTTTTTGCAATCACATTTTTATGGAGCATAATGTAGAGCATATTGTCAATTTCTCATCTACAGACATTATTTGTGAATGTCAAACATCTCAGAACTATTTCCATCTTCTCTTTGAATAGCAAATATTCAGCTGCAGGGAATGTTGTCACCGTTGAATACCCGTCCAAATACATTTGTTCTTGTGACGTAATGTAAAAGGAGCAAACCAGTATGCATGTCCTGTCTTTCATATTTTCTAACATTCCAACATTTCCTCGGAATTATCCCGAACCCTCAGCTCATTTGTCTGGTTATTTAATTATCCCCTGACTGAGAACGTGAAGAATGACTTGAAAGAAGAAAAAAACAAAAACTTCAATCCCTTTTTCATCATTCCAGTTCGCGTTCACAGCTCATACTCAAAACTCTCAGCTAGACTGAACTCGTGTCCTGGTTACAAAGTGTTTTTGCCTCTTAAAGTATCACCGCTTGTTACTGCAATGCATTATTCAGTGCTGTGCATTATGCTATTCATTAGGGGTGATATCTACCCCAGCTAGGATTACAAATCGGATCGTTTCATTTGTCAACAGCATCTGCTTACACAATGACGCGGACATAATTAAATCATAGACTGGTAGCTTTGATATTCGATTCCGAACCATTATAGATATATCATGGTACGGTAATCTAGAGCAATGTGCTAATTTTTTTATTTCACTTCCAATTATATAATTAAGTTCACACCACTATAGACCTTAATAACTCACTAATGATCATAGCTCCGACGGTTTTTTTCTAACTAGAAAAAAAAAATGTTCATTGTTAGTTTTTTGGATTTCCAAAAGGTTTGCGAGAATTAAATCAACACATAATTTATATTGCAATCGATATTAATTTTGCATTCATACCCATAAGACATCGCGTTGACAAGAATTAGCCTATATTCTCTGTTGATTGCACGTGATAATCTACAAAAATAGTTAACCGCATTCTCATTGACTGCCAGCATTAACATGTCCCTGGATTAAACACCTCGGAGAATCACTGACGTGCGATGCACAGTGGTGATGACAGTATCACCAAAAGCACCGGTGCCGCGAGGTCCAATATCTTATGAGAAACAAATATTCATGTCACATACCTGGTACCGGCTGGTGCCAAGTGTTTGAATGTTACACCCTTAAGCACGTTCAGGCGAAGAACATACCTGACATAAAGCAAACACCATACAATATTCTCGTAAAAACATAATGATGTTAAAATGTTTAAAAAAAATAATGGGTAATAAAGTTGGGGTCTCACGCATCGCTGGTTAATTATGGAGTTATTAGGGGTTGGTATTCAGCCACAAGTGGAAGAAGCCCCGGAAGTTTAAGAATTAGAGGCAGCCGTGGGGTCTTTTAGCGTTTTATATGTGATGAATTGAGAAAGTGAAGATGCACGTCCGGTTCGAATGAGGCCATATTTCAGCGTTCACCATTATATCCAAAGGGTAATAAAATATAATACCGCACAATTACTTGGAGATCTTATCTTAGAGAGTTGGCGAAAGAAGGGAAATAAAATCAGCATAAAGGAGAACCACCAAATGGTGCTGGCAGACCTTAATGAAAGTACCAGAGTGGGTTTGGTTTAAGGAGCTGGGGAGTTGTGATGGTTGAGAAAACTGTTGGGGCTGTGGGTGAAGGAAGGAATGGGAAAAATGTACGAAAATGTTGGAGGTGGAGGTAAGCTCTTAAATTAATTCGCGATGAATTACGCCTGCACCAGATGGAATCCCTCGTACGCTGCTAACGGTCCTTCATAGCTCGCTCTGCTCCCGTTGTCCAGTAAGAGAAATCCTATATTTTTGCTCTTCTGCTCACCATCCACAATGTGTAAAGCCATTTTCTCCAAAATTACTCGCTTCCACCTCGAATCGACAATCTCCAATATACTGTAATATTCATTTTTCAAATATTTTTTAATTTTTCATCTAACGGGTTGATCTTTTTTCAATGAATGAAAGATAATTAAATGGAAATTTCATAAGACATTTTATTTTCATTTCTCCGGATTATATTTCTCCTTTGGTTATACGATCAAAACTCATTAAATAAATTATTTGAGCAGCTGAATGCAATCAAACAATCCAATTTTGGATGTTGAGAGTTATGAATAATTAAAATAAGTAATAATTCCATTATCCATAAAATTAATACCTCAATTCCATCAGTTATTTTCACCGCACGCCACTGAAGCCTAATAACTGATATTTTATATTTTATACAAGACTCTTGCCTTTACAAAGAGTCATTCCTCATTATTTGTCAGCAACTTAACAATATGTACAGTCAACTTATACATGAGATATATTGCTTAACTATTCATCATTGAACACATTCAAGCCAGTCGAGACAATCGTTTCATTCGATTAATTGTAGACCACCTTATAATATACTCTCGCATCATCACTATATATCTGGTAAGGTCGAACGGAAGTAATAAATATATTTCATCATTGTAATTAAATCCCACTTAAAATAATTCACAAAGAAAAAATATTCATTCGATTGTATAACACTGAGCCATGCAGAAGAATTTTGCACTGAGTATACCATATGAAAAGCCTTTTCTTTTTCTTCTACAGAGATGTCACATTCCACTTTCTCTACAATTACATCAACGTCCCCCAGAGAAGTAAGGAGACACACCGAGTGATACATGAATAGAATAAGTCAAAAATAAGAATTCAAAAAAAGATATGTACATTTCTATTCTTCCATCATTCAAATTGATCTCAAAGAAATTTATCTACACTCTTCATTTTCCCCAACAATCGGTCTCAACCATTTTTTTAAAATTTACTTTCCCATCATGAGAATGGCACGGCAATTCCTTTAAAACGGCTTGAAATGCTCGATCATGACGCATAATGCAATGATCATTAGGCTAATGGGACAGTGAAATAGTTGATGTGAAACCCCTGAAGAGCGATTACCATGGGGTGATCCTGTCATGGGAGTCGGACGCCGCCGAGTGATTTTCATTGTTGGTGGTGGGCTTGATGCACTTGAAGATGGTAATCCCACGTGGCCCTGCACAGTGTTATCTGACGCAAATGTTTTACCCTCCACCTTATTCTCCATCTTATCGTCATCGGCTGAACCATACACTACTTGCTCTATATCGTCTATCTCGTCATCGTAATCCGATTTCTGTCGAGATGTTCCACTCATCTCTGAGATAAAAATAACATTGAAGATAAATATTTAAATTTTCTCAGAGTGTCAATTTTTTTTTTTCATCTCATGTCAATAATTTAATTGTTGACTTAACTTTAGTCGCATTGACTCATAATCATTGACTTACTGTATAATCTTATGCTGAAATCAACTTCTCCAAGAGAATTCTTAGCAGTGCAGGTGTAGGTCCCGAAGTCATGATCTTGCAAATCATGAATTGTGAGGATCATCCGAGTTTTGAAGGTTGATAGAGAAATTGTTTGGGCTTCATACTTCGAGCTCGATATGATCATATCTCCTGAAATATGATGAAACTTGTGATAAAATATTCGGAGAATATAATCGTGAAAACTTTTCGGTAAGCGTTTAATTAGGAAGAAAAAAAAATAATTCCGGAATCACGAACGTCATTAATACTTTCAGAACTCGGGATGATTGAAAGTGCCAAGTGGTATCCGTAATTTCAACATAAATTAATTAGAGTGGATTTGATTTTTTCACCTCATCTACAATAATATTTCCTGATTTTCTACAGCCGTACTAAAAACTGCAATCTCACAAATGTTCAAGTAAAAAAAATAATTCCTCAATTAAACAAAAAGTATAAATGAGTAATTTAATTCCCGAGAAATTATGGATTCGATTAATTATCCATATACGATAAAACCTTCAGATCATTGTAGCCGACACCTGATGAAACTTTCCTAGAATAACCTAAACATTAAGAATAAACAAGAGATGGTATCTGACACCTGCCACGTTTCTCCCATCCCCCCCTGCCATCATGCTTCTGATACTTGGCCTCGATCTCACCCAGACTTTTCAGCGGTGAACCCTGACTGCAGACGGGCTGCAGCGTACATTTCTCAGTAGTAAAGAGAATTTCAAGTTTGCAGAAAGTTTCCGCGGGAAAGGCAAAGAGAGCTGAAGAGAATACAGTAAAACCCCGTTCTATACGCGTGCAAGGGGCTGTAGACGAAGCAAATTACGAAAATTCGACTGTATGCAATTATTCAATTATATTCCGGAATTGGATTCCTCATCGGAGAAGAAAACAAAAATTGAGAAGAGATGAGACTATAACGGGATTCTACTGTTGCGGCAGATTTACCCGTCGGAGGAATTTCTCATGCACACATGCGGTTTTTAGCTCCCAAAAAATTATTTCGAGCGAGTGAATTCGGTTGGGATGCAAAAAACTTTTGGAATAGATCTATAAAAATATGTGAAGGTCCACGTGAAAAGTGCGCATTATTATGCCATCGATATTACACTCTATGACGAAATTGCAATCTACCTGCAGAAATGAACACTATACTACAGATATAGATTAATTTGAAGAGTATAAAAAAAGTGGATATTTCTTAACTGAGCGATATACGCAGCCACTTGCCAGAATAACTACACAACTCCATACTGGCAGTAAATCGTTTTCATGCCGCCACCCACATATACTGATTGATTGTTCAGATACGATGGATAACTCGGTGAGATGTTAGGGATTGAGCCCAAAGAATGGAAATTGCTCAAGTATACTTGACCCCCCTAACTCCCAAAGCCCTTCCGCAGTGATACGTTTCTTACCAGAGTCCTTGACCCAATAGTTTATGGACTTTGGAGATGCCTCTACTTGGCATTCCAAAGCAACATCAGTTCCCCTGGGTGCGGCAACCAGTTGATTAGGTACGTGAATTACCGGAGGAACTAGAAAGAAAAAAAAAAAATCAAAAGTCATGTAACATCTGCCACAATGGAAAGAGCTTCAAATAAGGGGGTCGTCCTACTAAGCTCAAACGTAGATGTATAGAAATGGATATAACGAAAAGTTGGCAAGACGCGCCAGAACAAAATAGATATATATATAAATGTTGAATCGAGAGCCAAGTTGAACGGCAGCAAAGTGAACACGCGCAACTTCTGCCACCCATCCCCCTATCTACCACCGCAATACTCGATTCAACATTCTCTGTTTCCTCCTGCCACCCTTCACTCCCACTTCCACGTTTAACACAATCCAGCCACTTACAACAACCTTATAGGTCGTCTCACTACTAGCCTAACTACTAATTATACTCACAATGAACGTTGATCGTGATTCGCTTGCTGATGGCTGGTGGCACACCATTGCTAGCTATGCACATATAAGCTCCCATATCATTTCTCGATACTTTTGTTAAACGCAGTTCCTCACCGTGATGTTTCGTCACCGCTTTCGCTTCAATATCAAAATTATTCAGAGAAATAACCATTAATTCTGGTGTAATCAAAAATGAATCAATTGTTTGAGGTAACGAGAGAGGATATCATGATGATTATTAGAAATTAATAAGGGCACACGATTTATTAATTCTTCAGTAGATCCTCAAGATGTCTAGTCCAATGAAAAAGTAGATCACCAATGGCATTGAACAGTCAGCTTATAGTTCAGCAAGGCAATGATTACCTTTCAATTTCTGATCACTGGGTGGAAACGTTGGATCACGGATGACAATATCCTGGCCGTCCTCACGATGCCAATTAATTTGAGGCAATGGAACACCAGTCGCTCGACATGTAAGCTTCACCTGTCGTATTCATCGATGCGTTATGTACAGACAAGACAGTATTACATATGGGACTAGGAATGAGGTGAGTGAAAGGTAGAGATGAAGGAGGATGTGCTGGATTTAAACAGACTCCCACCCAGTAGATCGCTGTTTACCGTTCACCCACACTTACGTACGTATATCAGGAAATGATGGGACTGGGAGCATCTGACCTAACGGCAAAGCGATGTCAACGTATTGCCCATCAAGCTATATGCAATTCAATTTAATCCACTTGGCATTAATTCCATTGACGCTTGAATTATTCCATCTTCTAGGAAATAATGAAAAAAAATTCCGAAAAAAATGATAGAACGAGCTGGGAAAGTTGCCACGACGACACAACCGGCACCCAAATTTTTTTTGCAACACCATGCAATTCCGGGGAAATTGTAAAGGAAGTGTAGGTAATGGAGCTGTTATTGCATACCTGTCCACCTTCGCGAATCGAAACATCTCCGGATGTCTGCTCTGGTATGAAGTCAGGTGGCACTTCAATGAAAAGCATTCCAGTCTGGAACAATTGGTAGGAGATGCACCGGTAAGATACAGTTCATTATGAGCTCAATGAAATTTTATCTTGATGAAAACTTGATTAAATTTTCGAATAACTGAGCAAATAGTAGGCAGCCAGTATGCAAAGTAGTGTCATAGATATGATTTCTTAATGAACGCGAAGTGTCAGCGTCGGTATTTATAAAATACTGGATCCATTTATTGATTGGAATAGTCGAAAATTAGAAATAGGAAAATGGAGGTTCTAGAGGTGAACTGTCACTCATCATTTATATCATAACAATATCATGAATAATGTATTTTTATTCTCGAGTATTAAAAATGATAAAAACCGCTGGAAACCGCGGGGTTTCATCCAGAAGACAATCTACTGTATACCGCACGGAATCTCTTTGAACCTGTAAACAACGTGATACACGAGTGAGAAAACGGGGGTCAGCGTCTTTTCTCCGTTCTTTTCAAATGCAACACAAAGAAAAACTGGCAATTGTTTTCTTTGTTGGACTATCCCGTTTCTCACAGCTGCCATTTACCTAGCATTCTAGGCATAGGTGCATGAATATCTCTTCTCGCCTCTTAGAATGGCGAATTTCAGAATGTTGAGAGAGGTAGAAATTCTTTTCGACTCAATATCAGGCGTTCAGTCTCCCTGAATCCTCATTGATGGATTTCTCGTCTCGTTCATACTCCTTATTCAATTCAACTTCGCAAATTATTCACAGGCCCTAATAACCAGAAGTAACTGAACTCACCTCAATACAGCTTTATGAATCTGTCATAAAAATTGTGTGGAGAAAAATAAAGAACTGAGTACAAAAATAATTCCGTGTCAATATATTTATATGACTACTACAATTTTCATCCGATCCCCATTTAACCCAATATTTCCCGGAAGTCTGAACAATATCGGCTATACTTTTTCAGCGAAAGGTTGAACCCTGGAAACTCGTCCGGTTAACATCTGTCAAAAAAGTGATTGAAAGATTTAAATATATCTCAGGTGGTGGCGAAATGAATGACCACCAATCGACGAGTATATCGTGACCCTTGAAGAGTTCATTATTCTCCATCATCGCCTAAAAATTCAGATGCCTTCCATAATAGCAATAAATACAACTATGCTATTTAGTAAATTTCTCTTCGAATTAACTCGGCAATTTATTACCCAGAAGAAATCTCTCAGGAGTAGTAAAACATCTCGACTTTTAGTCGAGATGAAAATACATTCCTTAACCTCGGTAAGCCCTGAAGACAAGAGATGCTAGTACTGTACTGTACATCACTGTACTGAATTACAGACGTAATTATCTCCCAAGTAAGCCGCATTCAACAAGACTCGACCAAGTGAGGTACGTCAACTCTAAACTTCAATCATTATCACCGACTTGTCTCTCCCTTCCACCTTATCAATTTGTATTTTCTCTTCTCCTCTGCTGTATTCACCCACTCAGAAGAGCCGCCGCTCTCAAAGTGTCTGTGTAATAAGTAAAAGCATTTTACCATGAGCGTCTGAAGGAGCCATGAAATATTGAGAGTTTCTGGGAAAATTCTGTACACCCAAGAGGTGTACGTTGGCAAGCTCAACTATTTCACTTGGCTCGGATCATTGTGTTAATTGTATATGCATTTTTCATCTTGACGAGGAATTCTAATGAAATGCAGAAGACACTGTGATCATGCTTCCATTGGGGATGGTGGGGATTGACGAAGCAGCGAGAAATTCGGTGTGAGCCATTTCATCTTCTATTCGCTCCTTCAACATGATTAATATTCCATGAATACTCTTGGGATGGATAGAAGGTTCTCCGACGCCCCAGAATTATCGAGTTTTGATTAACCAACTTCATGAAGAATCTCCTAGAGATTTTTCAATCGAACCAACTTTTATCTTATTATAGAAAAACATAATTAATCCGGGTTATAACTTTCTTTACCCCTTGAACAATTAACTTTTCAGTGTGTTCTATCGAATTTATTGAATGACACGGAGAGGCTGCTACTCCTCGCAGTTGTAATAAGATCTTTTTATCAATTCAACTTAATCTCTTCTGTATGAATAATTATCTTTTCGAAGCATCTGCAGGATTATTCGAAGTCGTATTGCACCAAAGCGCCCGCATCCCAATTCAATCTGATCAAATCCTCCAAGTTTCACGTAAACTCGTTGAAATTAGAGCACTACTCGGAAATTCTCGAGTGAAACATAAAATATCTTGAATTTTCGGTCTACTTTTGCTCTATCAAGGAAGCCAAAAGTAATTGGCCATCGCGGTGAAATTGAGATTAAATCCCATACCCCGAGAAATGATGAAGGCTGATGCGCAGGCTTTAAATCTTAAACTCCAGGGAGGAAGTATTAAATTCAGAGATTATTAGTGATAGTAGAAATGCCGCGAAATAGATTTTTTTCCGTAGTTCCTCCTCCACCAATAATTTATTTCAAATTCCGCGTTTTTGATTTATTGAAAAACTTATTAATAATTGCTAATGACGAAGACAAAGTCGAAGGCGGAGATAGAGCAGCTCCTGGCACTGCTGTTAAGTACTAACCCATTGGAATTATGTCAGTCCGCCTTCAGAAAGTCTTAGCTATAAATCGCCCTTTCACCCAGGACCTGGCTATGTCCTATTGATTCAAATATAAACCCAAATTGTAGTATTGCCAATTAGTTATTTCAGCTGTGGTGACCTGGTATTTGGCCACTTGTATCGGCTTACTGATGTGGTCTTCGTTGAGAGCCAACCCCCTTCGGTTACGGAAGTCCCAACCACCCCAGTTTCAAGGATAAGGCTGAAACACTAAGACAAGGTTTAAAACCGAACCTCACCAGGATGCGAATGAGGTAGGATAAAAACCCAGCCAAAGCCCTTAGTTACTGGAAATGTTCGAAGTACTAAACGGCTAGCGCATCACCCAAGCACCTGCGTCTCCTCACCAAAAGTTTTCCCAGCTCAATTGCACGTCATTATTTTATTATCCTAATGTGACAGTCTCTAGTACGACAAAGTGCGAATAGAGATGAAAATACCTGGGATAGATGCACCCCAACTCCTCCAAGAAATTTGAGTGCCCCGAAAATGATGAGATTACTAGTTAATGGACGACTGATTCAGAGGAATTTCAATCAAACAGTAATAGATTTATCCACTCGATGAAATTGGAGTTTCTCAACAGGAAACCGAATACACAAACGTTCGTCGTGTGTTATTAAAGTTGTGAAGAGTTAGTAAATTCAAAGTATTTCAATAAGTGTTTACCGAATTCGTGAGTGGCATCCACTCGTAACTCGATGCCATCGGGAAAATTCAGAAATTAATATTGTGCATGAATTCTATCGGAGATTTAATGAGACAGAGAGAGAGAGAGAGGGAGAGGTGGATCAATGAGAGGAGTGGTAGGAAAAGCCGAAACTTTAATGCGTCAGAATGTTGAGTAGAATCTCTATGGCATTCAGTGAGCAACCCGTAAGACGCTATTACCTCCGGTACCTCAGACATTATGGGAATAGAAGCTACTTATAGTGCTGAGGTTAATTCGAGCACACTCACCAAAGAGTATTTACTAGACCCCGTGGGACACCTCGACTGCCGTCACTCTTCCTGAGGAGTACAACACCGAGTGAAAGTGACAATCTAGGTTTCTTCGACTCATCAACGCGGTTGCTCTTTCTTTTATTCATGTTTCTTTACTCATTTTCAAACTCCATGTAGGATGTCGTGTGAACTTTACGATAGGGAAAAGCAAAAAGTTACTCTCTTGGTGGATGGCTCCGAGGAGTAAAAGATATTATGCATCAGACACGTAGCACCACGATTTTGTTGTGCTCTCACGGGAGCAAGAGTACTTTTAAAAAATCTGGGGATGGAATAATTTACAGTGGAAGTCGAGTTCGAGGTAGAATAATATCAACAGATTCTCTCCATCACTTTTTATTAATTCCGTTATCTATTATTGGAGAAAATATTCAGTGATTTCATTTGAATTAAATGCATCTGCATGCATTGAAAATTCAGAAAATTTATTTTCATTTTCAATAGTAAATTTTAGGGTGAAGTACTACATGGATATTTTTCGCATATTTATGAATAGGTGAAAAACCATCAGAGTGTAAATCCAGTTAGTGAAAATAATTTTCACAGGTTTATGTAGATGGTATTGCTTTCGTAATTATTTAAAAATTATTTTCATCTTCCGATGGTTTCGGTGGCTCGTAATATACTAACGATAATTTAGGTGTCTTAATCTTATCATCTTTTCCACAAAAAAAATTTAATGCACTAGACGAGATCGAAAACGTAAATTATGAATTTAAAATCGGAGTATAAGTTTTTAGTCCCGTATTTTAAGCGATCGGGAACATATCGTAAATTAGATTCCAGGAAACGTATTTTAAGATTAACCTTTTCAGTGCTGAGTAGTTAAAAAAAATAAATCTACTTCATTGGAATTTTTGCCTCATCGCTGGGAGAATAAATCTTTTCATTCGGAAGAATATTGAGTAATTTCGGAAATGATAATTAGGGACTAGAATTATTCTGATTTATTACATTTGAGGTCAGTGTGCAATACTATTTGATTCAAAGTGAGTAAACAGGCGTACCTGGCTCTTCATCGGATCAGTGTTTATTTGGCACATGTAGAGTCCAGCATCCTCCAATTGAATGCCCTTGATATGAAGATTCCAGGTTGAATGATCGCTGTGGGATACCGAAACACGAGGATTGTGGGTTATTACGTGCTCATGAATCGCTTGAATGGCTTTTGTATCTGCTTTCACCCATCCAACCTAGAATAACGAAAAACTCCCCGATGACTAAACATCGCTATTAATTCAGTCCATGACAGAGGAGAAAGTATCCCCCATTCAAAAACAAATCCAATGCAATGCCTAATAATTATATTTATTGATTGTTGAAAGCAATTATTTGTCTAATGATTTGTGGAAATTTTTTTTGATTATTTATATTGAATAATAAAATTTCTTCTGCATATTTTTCAATTTCATGGTGAAAATTTGGAATTCTGGGGGTCATACTCACCCTATATCCACCCAAATGCTCCACCAGGCACGTGAATATCGCGTCTCTTCCAAGAGCAATTGTCAAATTCGTTATTGGAGCCTTAAACTCCGGTGGTGATGCACCACCTGCTGACACCAAAAAAGATTCATCGTTTTTAAATTGCAGCAGTTTAAATTCTCTTCTATATCCTAATGGATCCAAACGACTCATGGCATGATAAAAAAATGAATTGTTAAAAAAATGAATTCACTGCTATGACATCCGGTTTACCATAAACGATTTTCTAACTGAATTAAGGGATCGACATGCAGTCTTGAGTATTAATTACATTATTGATTCAGCTGACGGTAGGAGCACCCATGCAGGAAGTACACTCGATGTTCAATTATTTATAAATTAAATATTGAACTCACCAAAGTTATCGTTGGGGTAGATCAGTAGCGCAATCAACAGGCCCCAAAGGATTCGATCATGATCCACCATATTGGCACGATCATCGGCGCTACTGGGAAACAAATGAGATTTCGGTGAAATTACATGACATTCCGCGTGAATATTCCATTGATGGATGCATTATAGTATCGAACCACAACCAAAACCACCGAGCGAATTTCAAAAAAAAAATTGAGAGCTATTTCAAAAACTCTCGTTACAGCCCGCCCGACAATTGCGGTGGTGATAAAATTATCATTGAAAATATCGAGCCATTTTTTTATTTTGAATTAAACTAAACATATATCCCAAGATAATTCAGCAGTTGTAATAATTTTTGATTACAGCGTAAATTTATTCCGATAACTTTTTTTACACATTCAACTTTGTTTTTCAGCTTCGTTGTTGGTAACTGTGGCAAAACAAAAATGGTGATGCTGTACAACATGGAAAATATAATTCCACGGGTACATGACTGTAGTTCCCTCCGCATATCGGATGCTGCACACACACATGCTTTTGGGAGTTGGATGGCCAACGGGCATATTAACCCGTTAACGTTTACCCTGTATTCCTGGTACACATGAGCTTGAGTAAACGGGTGAAACCCTAGGCCCTCCTTAACTCCACTGTGTGCATACCCCAGCATCATGGCTCCAGATAAAATATATTTTTATCAAATAAAACTGAGATTCCATACCGAATGACAGGGTGTTGTTCCATTAGTTAAAAAATACCCCTTCCTTTTCACATGGAAATATACAAAAATGTTAGTATTTCAAATACATGGATTTTCTCGTAATCCGGCTTACGCAAGATCCGCGTAACAATGAAATTCACGTGGATTATTTTCATTGCATATAGAAAATATTTTTCACTCTCAGTGTGACGATGAATTATGATGATGAACTCGCTTCGTCAATCGTAATAATATTTTCCATGTTATTTCAGGGATTAATTTGTGATTCACATGTGTCCTGGAAAGCTGGGTACCTAGGTTACACCGACGATTAGGAGGGTCGTCAAGTGGAGGAGATATCAACACACCCCACAACCGCATAGCCACGTACCAATCGTAGCTGGAAGCCCCGTTATTGATAGTCCACCCCTACCCGAACAGGAATGAGGTATATTGTATTTGCATAGCCAACCCGCACTCTTGGATTCAGTTCCATCGTCTTACCTAGATTAAACACGATTGGTCGCATTCCAGACTGTATTACACAGTAGTAATTCACAATTACGGTGTAATACACTGGGAATTATTTGTTTTCCAAGCCAACGAAGGGTTTACTCAGAATATCAATAGGGAAACAACAAATGTAACTAATGTCTGAATGAAAAATGAAGGCATTGAGATATTGTAAATGGTTTGTCCTTGACATATCTGGTAACGATCGGGCTCACCATTTTTACTTGAGGATAATGATAAATTATGCAGCATGGTAATCTCTGAGTTGTTTGTCCATATCACAAACTACTCCTTAATCGATGAATGTAAAAAATTCACGGCCGAGGGGAGGGCCGTCAAAGGAAATTTTCAAGGAAGACGTTGAATAAATAAACGCTGAGGAAAATTCTTCCCTACAGTCAAAACAAAAATCTAACAATCCACGTGTCCACCGTTGATAAAAAATTCATTATCCGTATACGAACAATTTGAGAATAGAAAAATATTCATGGAATTACCTGAAGTTCATGGAATTACCTGAATTAATTCCACAAGTAATAATTTCCCGCAAATTGACGATACATTTTTGCGCCACTCCCGCATCCTCTCGTTAATAACATTTTCCCCATAATCAAGGGAAAAAAAATGGCATGAATGGGCAGAAATGGAAATGAATAAGTAGAAGCTCTGCAGGATCGAGAGATTTCATCCGAAGAATTTATGACGTGACGTAAGAAAAACGAGTGCGAAGAAATTACAGTGCTAAAGGTACGAAGCAAAGAGAGAAAATGCGAGATAAGTAGAAACGTGGGAGAAGGATGCACAAGAAAATTAGCGACGTTCGCTGTGGTAAAGAGTTACGAGGAACGTCCTTATGACCCTAGCCCAGGTTCTCACCCTATCCTCTTTCCCTCCACCCATTCCTATAATGCCAGAGCCCCCACCCCCACAGAGAGGCCAAAACTACTTGCGAACATTAAGGGTCATTACAATGCGCCATAAATTGTATCCCACCATCTCGTTATATTTATGTTATCAATTTCAGGCCTACTCTTCAAAACTGTCGCGGGCCGGCAATCACTCGTAATGAAGTTTATACTTTAAAGAAAAAAAAATGAGAATTAGCCTGTCATCCCCTATCCCAAATTTTTGAAAGAATTTGAGTCCCAGATCTCAAGAGATAAATCCTTCGTAAATATGATGTTAGTATTATTAAAAAAATTCTAGAACTCAACTCTAACACTGAATTTTTATCGATACTATATCCATGGATTGATGAAAAAAATATAACAGAGCTATCAAATATCCATCCACTGAAAACGATAATAGTTTTTATCTGATTCATTTCCATCGTATCACTACTGTGTCCACTCACAATTCTCACGACCATTGGAAAATTATTAAACCCATATTTCAAAACCTAATTGACCAAAAAGGGTTGTCCTGTAGCAATTTGAATCACAAATTTTCCACCCACCCGGGTCTCCAATGGTGTTCAACCCTCACCCTCTCTATACCGCTGGAGCTCTCGCTCGCATACGTATTATCGAAAGCGCTTCAAACTGAATTACTTTACCTCACTGTAAAATATCCAATTGTTTAGCGAAACGTAACAGTAACTCCAGAGACGAGCTAAATGTATTTTCAGTAGAAACAGAGGTTAATTACTCGTTTTATAAGAATTTATCTTTCACTCGTGATCTTAACATTTTTGAACGTGCCTGAACGTTCACGTACCATTACCACTTGGTATGACCTACTGGGAACATTATTAAGCTCACTCTTTGTACAACCATTAATGAAGAGGTAGAAATATCACTCAATATAATTGACCCTCCAATATTTTATTAATATCCTTCCTTCAAATATTGCAATCCGCATTGAGGAATGGAATATCGTTTAAATATTGAAATATTCACTCCCTTTATTGCACAATTCAATAAAATATTAAATTCATTTTTAAATAATTTGAAAACCAATATGTGGATAATAATCATGCAGATTCAAGGAAAAAGTAAATATTTGAGGAGTTTTTGGTATAAAATATTCATCAGTCGGCGATTCAATGAAATGTCCGATTTTTTATTTCCGTTCCTGCAAACTTACTGAGTGAAATCCACTGTTGAATTGGAAATATTTGTAACAGTGCGGTAATAATAATAATTAATTCTTCATTCCGAGAATCCTGTTCCGACACTTTAATTCTGAATCGGTAGGACAGGTTGGACATGCAAGTTCAGAATAGCACAGAGCATTGATAAAAAATCGTGGAGTTCTTGCTCCAGCAAGTTTTATTTAAATCTTTAATTGTATCGACTACTCTAATAGTAATTTCATTCGAATTAACAGACCCCGTAATGTTTAATAGACTAAAACTCCTACTCAAGTCACGTGGCTTTTTTATTACGAGTTTGAAGGGTTATTTTAATGCCACCCCTACCGATGTCGATTGAAAATCTGAATTATCGCCTCGTCCCCCACCAATTTTAATATCATTAACTAGCATCGAAAGTTATTGGAAACTAGCAGCTTCCAAAATTGAGTTTCACCTCCTGCTAATTTCTGCTAAAACTAAAATATGAAAAATGGGATTAAATTTTTTTCAGGAGTGGAATATTAAATTGCCGAATTGAACTTTCCACAGCGGTAGACACCAGATAAAAACGACTGAATTTTTTATTGATAATTCAAATAATAAAATTTGGAGTAGCTGACAGTATCAACAAAAAAATGACATTTGGCAAAAAATTTAAAAATGACATTGTAAGGAAAAATTTGATAAATGTCTACTATGTGACTAAACATGGGAATTACCTGAATTCACTTGATAACACAGACTCACGTGTAACAGGAATCCTGTGATTTGCGTAACCCTCACTGAAAAAACTTCAACAAATGTGTATTTTTATAAGGGAATTAATAAAGACTGATGATAGAGGGACACGTGCACACACGCGGTGTTTGTTGGTGGTACCATAGAGAATTTCGAGTCGGTACCGATCGCACGGATAGACGCCGGCAAACTGTTGGGATGACGACGGTTTCGTGTGGCCTCATGGCAGACGGAGAACGGAGTTACGCCGAGAGCTCCTTTACCCCACCCTGTTGTACCCCAACGGCATTGGTATGAGAAGAGAAATAGCTCGAGATGCGCAAACTCCACCGGAAACCCGCGTGTTAAGAACCAAATGAGGTAGAGAGTGAAGTATATGAAGAATAAAAAAAAAACGCCGAGACTGATTCAATCCACCAGGACACCGCCCGCGGATGCTCAACTCAAAGGACGACACACGACGCAGTGAATAAAAGTTTAATAAAAAAGGATTGAATTGAGGAGTTGAAGGGGAAAAACTGATTCATTAATCCAGGGTGGACGGCCCTTGAAAAATTAACAATGGACAATACTAGAGATCCTTCCACACTTTTTATTCGGTATCTTCCCTTTTGATTTTCTCTCGTTCATTCATTGTCGTACAACTTGTTGATATTCAATGATAAAAATTCCGCTCGACTTCCACGACTCTGTGGGCCGTTGCTGTATTTTACGGTATAAATCCTGGATTTTCTGGAGTAATTGTTTTTTTTTTATAACTGGGTGCCGGAGATTTTTTCATTTACACGGGGCAAGAGCTCGGTAAATATGGCATCGTAGGGGCCTACCAATGGAAAATTCACATATTGCCTAAGCGACCCACTTCGCCATTTTTTTTTTGACTGTGTTCACTGTAGTGGTGGACAAAAATATTTCAAAATTAAATTCCGGAAAAAATGTGGGTTACGATTGCACAAAAAAGTGATTCTTTTGAGTATGCCGGGATGGAAGATAGTTAGGACAGGGGCTTATGAGAAAATGCTCATTACATCCGCGTCATATTTTTTATGATGAGGCATCCCTGGGGGAACGGTTTGCACTTAATTTTTTGTTTAATGAGAAAAATCGCAGATATCCCACAAAATCCTCAAAAAATCCCTCCAGATATTAAATTAAAAGAACGCATATATGAAAATTAAAAAAAAAAAAGACAACCACCTAGTCTCCGGAAAAACGTCCTTACAAGAAATTGCAGAGTAAAGTGCCTCATACAACCAGAGCGTTTATATTTTCCCGTATACATTCTCCTTTTTCAGTGGAAGAGAAGAAATAGCCTGGAAAGAACTGAAAGAAGGCAGCGAATAGATTTTTCAAGGAATAAAAAGAAAAAGCTATACGGACAAGGTCGGTAAATATCGACGATTATACGACAGCCATATCGTTCCAGGCGAATAGTACAACTACCATCGTTACTGCTCGATTGGCCGAGAAAAGTTTTCTGGATAAAAGAGAGTCATCGATACAAGAAGCAGGATAATAGCTATAAATATTACGCCGCCTGTTGTAAATTTTCTTTGCATTCAGTATTTCCCTTGTCCTTGGCTCCTCCATTATATAACCAACACCATTCTTCAATAATTATAAATCCCTAATTCTCAATTTTTTCCCCACCGTCCGGAGATGAGGATCTTGATCGAATAGAAATGTTGGAGAATGCAAAAAAAAAAAAATGAGGGATGAAATAGAGTTTGTGAAAGTGACCCTCCAGCAGCTGTTCCAAGCCCCCAAAGTCAATGATCGTCAGGGCTGTGAGGTCCGTTGGAGTCTCTACAAACTTTACCTTCCACCCACTACCACCCCCCAAAATGTGTTTTTTCCCCGCTGGTCTATCGTTTCGTAAACTCCCGGTATAAAATGAAAAATTGACATAGCCATGCTCACCATTACGCGTACGAAGCTTCACGTATTTTCCTATCGAATTCTCTTTCAATAGGATCCCAACCTATTACATGAGTATGCTAAGTCCATTGTCTTTATCCCAACATCAATGACGTTTGCCTTTGAAGATGGACGAGGGGAAGAGGGTAAGGCGAAGAGACGCGTGTGTAGTCTGGTTGAGTTAGTGACGGGCGAGCTGTCGCCAGTATGTGCCAGCTGTTTCCCTACTGGCCGGAATGACTCCCAATTCCTCTCACACCCCTTCCTTAACCCTCCCCCCAATCCTTCCTAAATCCCCCCCAAAATCCTCCCCCACTGCGGCCCTTCTCGCCCCTTCTCCACCCTCTCTATGCCCCACCAGCACCCCCATACCCCCTACCTATACCCCCATACCCCCCACCGACTTGTACTTTAACAATCTTGTATGACGGCCCAACTGAGACAGACATGATCCGCCATCCCTCTCCAATAGTTGTGCCACAGCTGTGTCGTTCGGCATATCATCGAAATATTATTTCTCCCAAATTTATTTTTTTTTTTTCTCAACTTTCTGAAGAAGCCCCACAGAGAATAGAAACTTTTCACCGAGAAAACCCGTCCCTCTTTGCATACAATTCGCTTACACCCAACGAATCCGTTTCAAGAGTTTTATTTTCACTGTGGGCTAGGTGTGTATTTTTCGATTGTAAATTTCCAATAGAGAGTCTTTAATACTTTCCCGAAGTTTCGGGATATTTGAATATCAGTTGCGAAAATTCTCATGGAGATTCAAGAAGATTGAAAAATAAGTTGAGAGTGATAGGTGGGGGATTATAATTTTATGAAATAGTAATTGGCCATGTGGAGTCAGGGGTAGAGACAAGTTGGAATTCTACGGGTATGAGCATGTCTTGTGCATATGGTTGTACCAATTTCGAGGATTTTATGAGAAAACGCACTAACTGGGGTTATGCTACCGAGATATCCGAGACATTGCAGCGGAGCCAGGAGCAAAACCAGTTTCTTATATAGACAGTGAAGTAGAGTGTAAACCAGGATATGTGGAGCACTGGCATATGGCAAAACTGCGCAACCGGTCCACTGACTGTTTCTTTATGTATCGTGGTGAGTGTAAAAGGCAACCAAATACAACCTCGACATTACGATTTCAATCTCGCCAACTTTTGCATTTTATGGAGTTACCGTCTTTCGTGTGAAACCGCTGGGAATGTCCAATGCCAGAACTTACATTGACTGAAACTACTTTGGAAAATGTTTGAGAATTAACTGATGGAGTGCCTGTCAAATATCGAAGGAATTCAAAATTCAAATTCCATTGCCTGTGGTTTCACTGTCACATGGTCATTCAATAAGTTAAAAACAATTATTCTCAAAATTATTTCAACATGTAGAAATTTTTCGCTGAGAATCCAGAAAAAAATGATGGAATAATGAAAAAATTATTCAATCGATTTATGGATAAATATTATTATTATAAATATTATTATTTGGAGTTTAGTCTCTCTTAATGGTAGAAATAAAAATTCAAATTTTTATTATTTACTCCAACTTTTGTTTTTTTATTTTCTGATCATTCGAATCACGTAGTGCGAACAATGGACGTCGGAACTGAGGGCGGTCTGTGAAAACGACATATTATATCCCGGGGACATGAAAAAATACGGGTAAATATTTCCAAGAATGGAGACCTCTGAAAGTGTGTGGTATGTAGCTCGAATTTAGCATATAAAAACGCCCCCAGCGACAATTCGTCTCCTGGGATTGTTAGGGTGAGAGTTTAGGTGTGAAAGCCACGAGAGTCCAAGGTATTGGCTGGTTATAAACGAGACCATCGATTAATTTTCTATTGGAGTTGTAAAATGTAACGCCACCATAAAAAGTCGATTTATCTCACCTCGTCACCCGCGTAATTATCTCCGCGAGGCACGAACTCACGTTAAAATGTTGAGACTGACTCTAGTCAGAAAAAAAAGTCTATATTTACCCTAGAAACCCTCAACACCGATAATATTTCACAATGAGCGTTCAATCACTTAGACCCTTCTCATTCCCATCTCTACCTTCTCTCCAATAATTAATCAAAACAAATAATTCGATATTTCAAATCTCTAATCACATATAATCCACATTTTAATAACCATTTCCTGATGAGCCTCAGTGATGAATAAATAAAAAATTCTCTTCCCTGCCCGATTATTGGGAGATTAAAAATGAAGAAGTGGAATTGAAAGTGGAGAAGTATCTGCGAAGAGACCGTCGATCGAATAAATTTTTTTTCATACTCAGCCCTACACACAAGGTATTAATCGCCCATTATAGGGGATATTTTTTAATACCACCCCAGCCATTGTGATCTGTCTGCCAATGAGAGTGCGGAGTGTGCAGTGTCGTGGAGGTATGGGTACAATGGCTGGAAAATTAATCGCTGAAATCTGGGTACAATGTAAAAGAATTGAGGTTGGCTGTAAAGGAGAGGAGGGGATGGATGGCTGAGTGAAAGGGCAAAATGGTGGGGGG